CTGCAAGCAGTGGACAAAGCAGGTGGCTGTCAAACAACATTATAAGGGAGCATTGCACAACTTTAAATGAGCATGTTCTCTCATCATTGATCAGCAATGAAACAACAAAACAACATTAACTGGGATGACTTTAAGTGAGGAGTTACTGTATATTGGCTTACAAGGCAGGGGTGTGTGTGTGGGGGGGCGGGACTTGGACCTGTTCTGGGCACCACCAAAAATTATACAAACCTGCCACCCCTGCCCAGGGCAGGATCCGTCCCTCCAGTCTGTTCCCTGGGGCTATCAATCCCGGCTAGTCGACCCCTTGGGGGCCCAGTTGCTTCCTGGGGTAGCTGAGCGCTGGTTGGTGGGGAGATGCGGGGTCCCAGCAGGAGCACCCCAGTAGGGGCCCAGAGTGGCCCAGAGCAGCAAGCCAGGGTGGGTGGGGAGGGTGAAGCCCAGGAAGGTAGGGGCTGTGTGCGCCCTCCGCAGCCCAGGATGGAGAGTAGGATTTCGTGGCAGAGCTGGCAGATTTAACGCGCTTTGTCCCCCACGCCCAGGGCTGGACATGTCGTCCCCAGCTGTGGCAGCTGCCTTCCAGCCACCGGGAGGAGGTGAGTAGAGTCTGCCAGGGCAATTCCATTTCCTCTCCCTGGATTCCCCCTGGCCTGTCAACCGCCCAGGGAACTCTCCTTCCAGCTGGGCCCTATGCTACACAACTCTCCAATGGCCGCAGCACTCCACCCCAGAGGTGGCTGCATTGAAGTGCTGGGAGAAGCGATCCCTGTATGGACACAGCTGGGCAGAGGGAGCTGGGGGTCCGGCTTCTTGCTCTTGCCAAATGGAGGTGCTCTCTGTGGAGTTACCCGGCTATCTGGTGGGATGCCCCGTAAACCTCTCCTTTCCATAACCCCATTTGTACCAGCAGGTACCTCCTGCCGACATTTCCCAGTCACCCACTGGAGGGAGAGTCCTTCACTGTAATCCGCCCTACTCAGCCCTCCCTGCTTAGCTTCCCCCCTGTCCTGATACCCTCTCCCTTCAGAGAGCTAACTGCTGCTGTTCCCCATAGATCTTCCCCTCCCTAAACCCGCCTCACGGAGAGGCTGCCCTGGAAGGTCTCTGCTGATCACCTACATCCTGCTGGGGGTTTGCTTCCTCATGTGCAGCGTGTTCCTCATCCTGGCCCTCATGAAACGTGAGTGTGGGGCGGTCCCGGGTGTGTCAGGACAGCTGCAAGTGGGGTCACGCGGGCTGGGCTCTCCGTGCCAGGAACAATTCCTCACGGGGACGGGGCTGCTCAGGAATTTTCCATTGAGACTCTGGGCCAGAAAATTGCGGGTTTGATTCAACAAAATTTCATGAAAAGGGGTCGGTTTCCACAGACATTTTTTGCCGTTTTGAGAGAAAAACCAAACACCGGAAAGAAGAAATATTGTGATTCAGAAATGCTGCCATGGTGCCTCAAAGGAGCTGAGTTCAGTTACCACGTGTCCCCATTCTCCTCTCTGGGCTGGGCTCCTCAACTGGACTACACCTCCCAGAATGCACCCCTGCCAGGGATTCCCATGATGCACCACCTCCACTTTCCAAGAGGGGAGACTGCAGTGCATCATGGGAGAGAGAGACCTCATGCTCCTAGTCACTGCTCTAGGGAAAGCTCCCTGGTTGGACAATTAACATCTCAGGTGGTGTGTGATGGTCTCCCCTCCTGGAGAGGGCAGGCAGTGCATCATGGGGACCAGTGGTGGTGCATCATGGGAGATGAAGTCTGGGTGGGGAGACGAGTCCCTACTGGGGAAGAGGGCATGAGGCATCCAAACTACAACTCCCATGAGGTGCCAGGGCAGAATTTCCAAATCAAAGTTTTTCAGTATTTGGAGTTCCACCATAGGAAGAAAAAAGGACTTAAAAAAAACAAAACAATTTTAGTCAAAAATTAAGGGTTTTTGTGTGTGTGTAAAAAAAAGTCTGTGGGACAAGTCTGGCATTTTCCAGCAAGCTCTGTCCACACGCAAGGCCACCCGGACTTGGGCTTCACCAGGTCTGAAGGGGGTGGGGGATGAATCTCCAGCAACTCTGCATCTCAGGAGCAAAGGCTTTGCCCCTGGAGCGAGAATTCGTACCCCAAAAGTGTTAGGCTGCGATTCTGCTCTCACTGGCCCTGATGAAAATCAGATGTCACTCTGCTGAAATCAGTGGAATAGCGGTGCCCGGAGTGTGATTGGAATCTGGCCCAGAGGGCAGGATGAGTCCTTGCTCCAAATCGAAGAGCCCAAACCTGCAAGGGAAGCACTCAGCAGAGCCAGACCCTAAAGGATCAGCACCCAGGCTAAGCAGCAGAAGAGCGAAGTGCAGCAGAAGGAGCTGTAACAGCAAGGGAGTAACTCTGGATTTACTCCACTCAGCACCTGATCTATAAACGTGAGGAATCCTCACCTAAGAGTAAGGGGGTGATGTTAACAGTGCTGCCAACCCTCCCTGTATTTGGCGTTTTTCCTTAAAGCCCCAGCTCCCGGAGTCCTGGGATGATGGGAGACACTTAGCTCATTTCAAAACAAACCAATAAATGCTTAGCCCTCATGGCTGGGAAAGGAATAGCTGGAGAACACAATCCCTAAGGCAGGGCCGGCTCCAGGGTTTTGGCCGCCCCAAGCAACCAAAACAAACAAAAAAAAGCCGTGATCGTGATCTACGGCGGCAATTCCGCAGGAGGTCCTTCGCTCCCAGGCGAAGCGAGGGACCGTCTGCCGAATTGCCGCCAAATACCTGGATGTGCTGCCCCACTCCGGAGCGGCCGCCGCAAGCACCTGCTTGACAAGCTGGTGCCTGGAGCCGGTCCTGCCCTAAGGGGTCTTGTGCATTAGACCCTTTCCCCCTACTCTGCGTCTCTCTTGGCTACTTAGATCGTTAGCTCTTCAGGGCAGGGACTGTCTACTCCGTGTTTGTGCAGTGCCCAGCCCACCAGGGCGCCGATCTTGGCTGGTCCTACGCACTGCCTTTGTACACGCGATTACTAATAGCTCAAGAAACCAGAGGGCAAACAAGAAGAATCCCCAAAATAATTTTTAAAAGATTAACAGGGTTTTTTTTTGGGAGGGGGGGCATGATTCATAACTTTTTGAACACCTGGCATTGGAAAATCTGTCACTGACAGCACTAAGCGACTCCCCTTCCTCCCCATCAAACCGATTCCCCTAGCCCGGGAAGTAACCAAGTCATTGGGGGCTGGAGCAGTTTCTAGTGTAAAGCATGCCCCGGCAGATCACAGCTCTGCTGTTTGCTCTTTGTTCATCTCCCAGGCCCACAGCTGCAGCAGGAGTCAGAGGACCTGAATTTCCACCTTCCCCAGAGGGCAGCTAATGGTAAGTAAATACTCCCAAGCTAGACCTGCATGCTTGTCTCTGGCTCAGCATAGATGCTGGCTGGCTGGGGGCGCTGTAGCTGATCATTTTATTACAGTGATTTGTTTAGCAGCCTGCAATACCAGGCCAGATTCTGATATGTTACAGCCGTGTAAATCTGGAATAACTCCATTGACTGGCGTGATGGAGATCAGAATCTAGTGCAGGGTCAGGAGGCCCCTGTCTAAAGGCTATAGCTGTAATTAGCACCGGGTGAGGTTTGGGCTTTTAATGTAAGTTACAAAAAAACGTGAAGTCTGAGTTTTGAAATTCTCACTGGGTTTCCAAAAGACACAGACGGGTGGGTTTTTTGTTTCCGTGTTAGTAGTTTTCCCGTCAAGGTGTTTGTCTCTCAGAGGTTTTTTAGAAACTAAACACACCCACACTTTCCAAAGCCAAAAAGTTTTGATTTTCAAAAAAAAGTGTCACTGGGGAGCTACCGTGGCCAGTCAGACGGGAGAGAGTGAGTAAGAGACACCATTGGGGGGGGGGCATGATTCATAACTTTTTGAACACCTGGCATTGGAAAATCTGTCACTGACAGCACTGAGCGACTCCCCTTCCTCCCCATCAAACCGATTCCCCTAGCACGGAGGGGAAGGGACACATGGGCATGTTCACACCAGACCTCAAGTAGCCAAAAATGTCAGTGTTTCCTCAAGTTTTCTACTTTTTAAGGCTAATTTTCATTAAAGAATCAAATGAAAACCTGTAACCGGCTCTAGCTGCTATGAGTGCCATCAGCCGTAGTAAATAGCTCTGTATCCCAATTCTCCCCATCCTAGACCCAAACGCCTGACTCTCTTACGCACCGCCCATAAGCCAGCAATAACCTTCCCTCCAACGGCACCATTTGATCACAAACCTCTACATAACTCCTGCTACTCTGAGAGAGATCAGACTCAGTTTGTATCCCTGTGACCGGGGTCCTAGTGCGGAGCCAGTTGTGGTCACTCAATTAGGGTGAACTGCAAAGAATGGGGCAGCCAAACCCCCAAAAGTTGGTGGATATTCCAATACTTAGATTGACCAACCCAGCATAAAACAGCTTCTTTATTACCTCATATGTGTAACCCTTCTGCCAGGTGTTGCCAGCAGCAACAAGGGTCCAGTTCAGTATCTAGGAGTTCCTTTTCAACAATATAACACAAAACTGACTCGAACTCCTTGGACAATTACACATCACCCCCTGGGTGCCTCTAAGAGGCAATACTTCCCCTCTCGCAAGCACAGAGTCTGAGTGTAGCAAAATCTTAATAAAAGGAGGGAATTAACTCAGCATTAATTGGGGAAAACACCACAACTAGGGTTCATAAACACAAGCCATGAGCAAAAGACCCACCCCCAAGTAAGTTGGGCAGTGTCCTTTTCCCCTCAGGGTCTTAAGTCCAGCAACCCAAAAGTCCCTTTAACGTGCCTGTCCCTTCTCCGTACCCCACTCACAGTTGCTGTCTTTGGCCAGTGCAGCCCCAGAGTTCAGAGGTTCATCCGCAGAGTTCACCTCCCACCCTGTGTGGAAGGTGGGGGAGAAGAGGTGGGGCAAGAAGGCACCTTACATACTGCACTACTTAGGCACGTGCTCATCACCCCAATAGCTGATTGCCACGCCTCTGCAGGGCTCTGCTCTGACCTTCTCCACCAGCTTCTCTGCTGGCCTCTTGGCACGCCTCTCCACCAGCTGCCCTGCTGACCACGCCTCTCCACCAGCCGCCCTGCTGCCTGCTTGCTGTCCCTCTCTGCCAGCCGCCCTGCTAGCCGCTCGCCACGGCTCTCTGCCAACTGCTCTGCTGGCCACGCCACTCCGCCAGCCTCCCTGTTCGCCACTTGCCACGCTTCTCTGTCAGCCTGCCCGCTGGCCACTTGTTGTGCCTCTCTACACTTCTCCGCCAGGCACCCTATTGGTTGCTTGCCACACCTCTCTGCCAGCCATCCACCATGCCTTTCCACCAGCTGTCCTGCTGGTCACTCATTATGATATCTTCAGCCCTCTCACCCTTCTTAACACAGCCCTGAGCTACTAGTGGGAGAGCCTCACAGCTGGTGTATACTGGGTACTCTCTTACAACAGAGATGCTGTCCCAAAGAAGGTCTAATACTACTTAGACCTAGGAATCAATGATTACAGCTCTGCAGCATATCATGGAGAGAGAAAGGATCAAATGGTATCCAAGGTCCCACCAAAGCCATCTGTCACCACCTTCTCCCACCTCATTGGGCTCTGGAACCCATGTTTCATGCCTAGTGAGTGACATTCCGTTGAGGGTGAATCCCTCCATTGGGGTGTGCTAGGTACAGTTCTGCTGCCCTTGGTTCACACAACAGGAATAACAACGCTTTATTACTCCTGCCCCAATAACAAGGAGACTGGGGAGCCAACACCAGCCACAAGTGATCATTTGGGCAAGCAATCCCATTATGCCAAGCACCTAGACAGGGTGGGTGTGTCCATGCAAACAAGGTTGGTTTTTGAAGTCTTTTTCCACAGCTCACCACTAGATGTCAGGGGAGAGCTTATTCAGACTCTGTTTACATCTGTAAATACATAAAAACACAAACAGTATCTCCCCACCTGTCTTTGAGGGTTATTTATTTTGCAGGCTGTTTAACCCTTTCTAGCCATGCATCACAATCCCCATGGCACCTTACCCAGCATGCCTTGCCAGCCTCTAACTCCCATGTATCTCTCTAGACTAGAACTCTCAGAATCCCTCTACTCCGGGCAGCAACCAGGAATGGGGCGGAGCTGGACCTGAAGCCTCTCTTAAAGGGCCAGCATACCATGAGCTGTTCCCATTTGCAGTAGATTTGCTGGTCATTTGTAGCTGGGAGCTGCGAATCAATCCTTATGCTGATTCCCATGGCATCTAGGGTTACCACCTGTCTGGTTTTTACCCGCACAATCTGGTTTTTGGCTTCTGTGTCAGGGGGCTATTAAGGGTTGTCAGGTGACTGATTTTCAGGACCTGGCAACCCTAAATGGCAAACCAAAAGCCTGGTTATGGCAGGGTGCAGGGGCGGCTCCAGGCGCCAGGGCAGCAAGTGCATGCCTGGGGCGGCCTGCCGGTCGCTGCGAGGGTGGCAGTCACGCTGCCTTCGGCGGTATGACTGTGGGAGGTCCCCCAGTCCTGCGGCAAATCGGTGGCAATTTGGCGGCGGGACCGGCGGACTTCCCGCAGGCATGCCGCCGCAGGCTGCCATGCTTGGGGCGGCAAAATACATAGATCCGCCCCTGGCAGGGTCGGGGGAGGCGCCGGGTCATTAACCCTCATGAGCCCCTGCTCAGCCAGCACCAGCCCCTCCTCATCTGGGGCAGTCTCCTATCTGCAGGTGGGAGGACCCAGCAAGCGACAGGGGGCGGGGGAGGGAGAGGAGCGAGTTATGGGGGTGGGGCCTTGGAGAAGAGGCGTGGCAGGGGCGGTGCCATGGGGGTTCAGTTACCAGCAATTAGAAAGGTGGCAACCCTAATGGCATCCCTCAGGCTTTTGACTGGCTGATGTGGGGTCCCAGTATGAAAACGGCCACATTGGGAACGCACACGGATCCGGCCATGCACCAGCTGCCAGTCAGCAACAAACCCCTCCATTACCAACTTATTCCTCTCCGTGGAGACAGACCATCCCCTAGCGTTACAGGTGGGCTCCCCATACAGCTGTCACCCTGTTACAGGTGGGCTCCACATGGTCACTCAGGACACCATCCTGGTTGTGGCGACCTTTCCCCTTTCCTGATCCCAAGGGCGTTTCTGTTTGCAGTATCCCAGAACCTGGTGGATTGGGAGAAGATCCGAGCAGAGGTTGCGGCACTGCAGAAAACAGTAGGTGAGAGAATCACAGAGATACTTCTAACTCTCATCAGTAGTAAGAGTGAGGGGCTGTGAGGTCGGGGTTGTGGGCTCTGTATCCACCTGGGGCTGTGGACTTGGGTAAGTGTTTTATTAGGTGTATTATGGTAGCTCCTTGGAGCCCAGTCATGGCTCATGACCCCAGTGCGCTAGGTGCTGTATGTAATTAGGTGTTTTGCAGTTGCGCCAAGGAGCCCCAGCCTGTAGAAACACAGACCAAAATGCTTCCAGCCTAAGCAAGTCATGTCTCTGGACCCAGGTGGCCATGGCATGAAGAGTCTGTAGCCACTCAGGGCTCTGTGGCTGTTCCCGGCCTGCCCAGCTGGGGCTCTCAGAACACTGCAGGGACGATGCAGAGAAGGTCTTTGACTTTCTCTGCTTGGGCGATGCAGGAGCCAGCCCAGATGCACAGAAGCCCGCCCTAGCCCCGCCCCAATCCACTCCCTCCCACTTCCCACCCCCTGAATGCCCCCTCAGAACCCCAACCCCCCCTGCTTCTTGTCCCTGACTGCCCCCTGCTGAGAACCCCCCACCCTAACTGCCCCCCTAGAACACTACCTGTCCCCTGACTGCCCTGACCCTTATCCACTCGCATGGGTGGCAGGGTTGTAGAAATTTTGGTGGTGCCCAGAACCCTCCCCACCTGCCTAAGGCTCTGGGAGGGGGGGTTGGGTGGGGGGAGGAGGTCTGGGGTGCCGGTCCTGGGCTGGGGATTAGGGTGCAGGAG